TTGTCACACCTTTTTTACGTACGACGCCACGCGTGCTGCCCGCCATTTGACTACCGACATGGAAATACATACGTCACTATTAATCGATCGCGCTTCGAGTTAGACGCCGCATTCGATACATGGATCGATCAAACGTGCATAATGGCGGTGCTACGGAACATTGTGGATGCGTTCGGTTCGTGCTCGTGTTTTTAATGAAAATTTAGTGTCAAAGTGAGAACTTTTCGAGCCAATTACCAGACTACGCGAAGCCCAACCACGTGACTAGTGTTTTTAGATGCAGCTTACGGTGAGTACTAATTTTATTATTCTAAAATTTGTTGATTAATTTGGAGCGTCCTTCTGAAGTTGTTGGACTCCATATCGAATTCACATTCGTTTCTATAATAACGCATTAACATCAAGCGTTTCATGTTTTTCTATTTTACTTGTTATTTGATTATTGTAAATTTAAGTAAGCTTCCATAGCACCTAAACTGTTGAAATCGAGTAACCTTTTGCTCTCCCATTTATGTACGAGGAGAAAACCTTCAGATAGAGATTTTTCACACAGAAATACGACGTAGGGTCCATGTGTCTGTTATTGATACGAATCGGGTATAACGACATAGGAGTCGCGTAAAAGCTGTAACAATGGTAACCATTCCCCAATAGGGATAACATTTATTGCTATAGCCACCGGTATAATCCTTTTTTTTTACGATTCGTGGAAAATACCGGCGATATTGAGATGTTCGTTGTAGACGTTCGATTCATCGCATGTTTACGTCGATAGAGGTCGCAGGACCAATCATACAGAGTCCTTGCGTTTATTTTTATGAGAAACTGAGAAACTCTGAGCAAACATCGTAAAGCTCCCTTGATATCCTCTATTCTGGCTCGGATTTCTTCGATCTGTAATTAGATCCACATTATTTCCAATGGAAATTGTGATGGATGGAAATCCGTATCAATTATACACTCGATGTGTTTACGACGTTGAAATATCTAATTAAACGCGACCCGATAACAGTTTCGAACCGATGGATAATTATAATACTCCAATTTAACCTGGCTAATCACGATGGCAATATTCGAGGGGGGGCGATCTTCTATTTTTCACCTATCGGCGCGACGATTGTTTCCATAATTGCTGGAGGTATTTTACAGGATTCGGTTAATCAACGAGTTAATATGAAAATTGCCTGGTTAAATATTAATAACGAACAGAATCCAGGTCGACAACTGACGGTAATTAAACACCGTAACCATGCTAAATCATTCAATAAAGAGGTCTAACAGAGTCAGGAAGGGGTTGTAGGGTGGATATATCGAAATACACCGGCAATAAATGTAATATCGTGGTCCGTTTCATTCGATTATCAGTAAGCTTGCGTATTACCAGTATAATAATTGCACAAAAGTTACACGTTTTCGCGTTACATTACGGATAAAACGCGGTTACGATTAAATTACGTTTTCGGAATCGTTTCTCGTTGCATCGTTATTTATTATCTTTCGGGCTCGATTTCGTGTTTGTGCTTAACGAATAAAGCACTGATAACCAGCAAATCGGTTGTAAATTGATATGCACTGGTTCGCGAAACTGAGCTCTTTAGCTTCGTATTAACATCGCTAAACATCGTACAATTGAGCGCACACGTTATCATCGTTAAGCATAATGTTTTCGGATATTATGCAGTCGAATAGCCAAGTAAAAAAAAAAAAGAGGCTCTCCCGTCGACGAAAAGTTATAGCAACGAGCAATATAATCGAACTTTTGATCAGGTTCGTTGATTTATTTCAGCCGGTGTAAATATCCGTTTTCCACTCGGTACATTTTCACACGTCCACGCACTGTGTCGCGTCGATAACGGAATACGTCATTTTAACGAGGCCATGCGTCAGGGATAGCCCATCAAACGATCATGAATAATTCCTTTCTTTCATCCGATCGCTCGTAAAACGCCCTCTCGCCACCCCTTGCCCGATCGACTCGAAAGATCTCCTTCCTCGTTCGTTTCTATGAATCGCGCTCGTCGAAAGAGCACCCTTCATTTTCAACGTCAATCAACGCGAATAAAATTGAATTCATTCGGTGTATCATCGATTACGAAACGTTTTCAATATCGACCGCTGTACCAGACCCCTTGTTCTCTTTCGTTTCGAAACGAATTGAAAATTAAATTGAAAGTATAAGTCACGGGTTGACTCCGAATAAATGGCTCGTACAATTTAATGCAATCAAAAGTGAATAAAGCACGGAGAATATTTCTGTAATTTTCTGAATACCATACGTATTTCGAAGTTTAATCTATTTCTCGGTTTTCATCCGACTGTTCTGTTTCCGTTCCTCTTCCATCCACGGCGAGCTTTTTGTTTCGATTTTTTGCTACTCCTGTAGCCGTAGCTTTTCTTCTTTCTTTTCGTAAATCCCGCAGTCTAGTTTCTTCCAACAAATCCTACTATTCTATCTCAATGTTTCCACCCTTTCTACCGGTACCTCGACGCAACCACGAATCCCTTCTTCGTGGTTGACCGCATTTGTCCCACCTTTTTCGTTTCGTCCAGAGATTCGACAATTCGCTTCCTTCCGGCGATACGTACACTGCTGATCCGGCAAATCCGTGAACTTATGAACAGTTCGCGGACGAAAGGGTACGCTTAGGAACAACGCGATTCGTTCCTCGGAACGGATATATCAGCGAGTCAGGAATACAGATGGTGGGAAGAGAGGAAATGGAGAAGGAAAGGGCGCAGGAACGGGTGTTACGTGTCAACAAGAAACGATCGGGTTGGAAAAGAGTTAGAAAGCCCGGGGGATCGTAGGATTAGATTAAAACTCGAAATCGAGTTGTCCTCTTCTTTCGCGCTCGGTCAAATTTACTTTGCAAACATGCCACATCTTCGCTCTCGCGCGAGATACGTCAGCATCTCGATTCTTCGCCACCAGCCCTTTCTATTTTTCCTTATTTCCACCCGTTTGTTTTCCTACCTCGCGCTTATTATTCTTCCCATACCACCCTATCCTTCCGTTCTTGTTTCTTCACCCATTTTGCATAAGCGCGAATCCTTTTATCCGAGGATGAATCGAGCTGCGCGGATAACAAGTACCAAACGAAGTGGTAGCTTAATAACGTTAGCTATGATTGGGATTGATTTTCAGATTTCCTGAATTATCTTTCCGGGGAAAGTTTGCTCGCGAGAGTGATTCATTTCGTTCCGTAGTAACGCGTTGCAAGAAGTTCCACCTCAGATCCATTCGACTTGCTGAGAAAATTTCATTTGCGTTTCAATGTCCGTGCCGGGTCTTTGTTCCCGGATAATTACTGCTGCGTTGATTTCGTTTGGCTCGTCGCCTTCTCCTTCGCCGGGTACCCGGTAACTCGCCCTGCGGTTCTCCAAATGAAATTGACCTAACCCTAGCGACACGTGCTTTGTCCGCTTCTCCCCTGTCCTCTTAAGAGATTCCCATCGCGTTGCATTACACTTTCCTACGAAAGTTACCGTCGCATCCTTTCTTTTTCCCACGAGAAACGATCCGTCGATCGTCGAACAGGATTCTCTTTGGATACCGTCGCTCGAATCTTTTCCAATAACAGCTTCTCCAACGGCACCGCGACGATTGGCTCGCGTCGAGACGAATCTCATTTGCACGTCGGAATTCGCGTTCATCCGGCATTCCGGATCCGCGTTCTTCGACGATTAGTATTCTGACGGTTCTCGCGTCGACTGCTTCAACGAGGATAAAAGAAGAAGAAAAAAGAAAGATACGCTGGTCTGTTCTCAAACGAGAACGCTCGGAGAAAGGAGAACCATGGCGAGAATTAATTGCAATGTACTTTGATTGGGAACGTGTTTCGAGAGTTCGATACAAACGAAGGGAATGAAATTGTTCCTCGTAAAGAAATACATACGCGAATCGTTTCAGCAGGATCGATGGAATCCCTTTTGTCCCGTCTTTCTGTTACTTTTATCCGGGTATCTTGTGGCACGCTGTTAGCCATTGTTAGATTTAATTAAAACCCTGCCACCCTCCCTATCTGCCTCGAATGAGCTTAATGTTTCATTTCCCTGTGCTTGCTTCGCAAAGTTCCTTTTAATTTTTCGTGAATTCATTGATTTTCATCGATCAGTATATTTGAATTGATGATTCTGAGATAATTCTATTTTGCTTAACACGCGGACTGACAACCGGGAAGCTTGTTCCGATGGGATAAGTCGAGAATTATTCAGAACCCAATCACATTGATGCTCGCTTAGGTCAGGAAAATCGGGCTAGGCCACTGTTCGTCACAATAGGTCCAGGGAAATCGAAGTGTGGAATTGAATTCTATTCCGGAATGGATTCGCAGAGGCTATCGGAGTATCTTTACCTTTTCAATTCCCTGAAACTTATATACGGCACACAACAGCTACTATATTCAAATTTTTGTCATACATTTGCTGTATCTTCGTTCGCAGTGATCCTCGTTTCATCAGCTTGTTAATTTCCTTCAAAGTACCTTCATTTCGAGTTGAAATTAGTATTTCAAGCGAAGAAGCATCTGTTTCATCCGTGGATATCAACGCCAAATGACGCTGAAATTGTAACTTCTGCTACAACTACGGTAATAGCTTATTTGGAAGTGTCATTAACGACTTTCGAACATGACTGTTGTTTCTAACTCGGTCCCGATACTTCGAAATACTTGAACGGAACTTCGTTGCGCCCAAATTATCGGACTTACGAAGTTCGGTCGGTTTTCAACTTCGCTATAAGTTATTTACTCTAAGCAGCTTTGCGTGGGCTTTTATAAATCCGACGCTATTCAATTTCGTCCCTGCTTCGAGACGAAGAAAGTTGAAGGGTCAATTGTTCTCTGCAAATAATATCTTTGTATCAACCTCTTGCTTACCTTCTGTCCCTTCTCTGTAAGTTTGTTTTTCGGGAATATCCAGTCTTCGAAGTTATCGAAACGAATGCAAGGAGGAAGGGTGAAAGGGATTTGAAAACAAAACACGGTCGATTTGTTTTTTCGTCTTTCTTTTATAAAACAAAGTCGTAATGTACTGATAGTTCCTTTCGTTTAATGTCAGTATACATATCGTAGTACTCGTGTTCCTTGACCTTCTGAACGTATCTCACCGAAGAACGATCGATCGATCGATTGGAATCGATCGATAGATCGGGCCACGGCGTTGCTGTAAAAACAGGCAATTCGAGCACAACGGCACGGCGAACGTAGAGCAGTAAAGCTTCTTGGCTACTTCCGTTTATTTCCTTTTAATTCCTGTTTTCATACCCTACCATCACTTTCCCTCCCTTTCTTTTTCTCTCGCGCTCGTTCATTCTTTCTTCTCTTCCGTTTCAAACGTTTACGAGAAGAATATCTCGTGCTCCATGAAGTACCTGTTTTCTTCGATTATTTGGAAAACTAGACCTCTTACTCTTTTATCCGAATCTTAAACACTTCCAACAAATTGCACGTAATCTACTTAAATTCATCCAGGCGGAATTGATATTTGTAGTATTTGAAATTTGGATAAGTGTGATTCCATCGATCATAAAATTATTACAATTACACGCTCATTATCGATTATTCTATCGGATTTTATTATCAGCAAGATTCTTATTGACCCAGTATTCAAAGTAATCATAAATTTCTTATCTCGATCGCTGTGTTTTCCAGACGCATTTCGCCCACGCAAACACTCACACACACACGAGGGAGAACCGCGTCTCCGCGATATTTTCCGCTCGGACGAGAAGGACGACCATGTCGACAAATGTCGCAAACGAGTTTTCTTCGCATTACTGTTCGCCACATTTTCCAACGATACCGTTTTTAACCCGGGAAATAACGTCGCTCCAGCTCTGGCTCCTGGATCGTGACAGAGCCGTCGGTTCTCGATGTAATTATCCCGATTACAATCAACCCTATCGAAATTTCGAAACGATCTGTTTCGCGATCGTTGTTGAAAATCGCTAGCTGTTCGAACCTTCCGATTCGCGATCGTTAAATTTTCAAGAGAGCATCGTTGCTGGCTGCGCGAACGCAACAAGTAGCTTTCGTTCTTGAAAAATTGAACGCAGCTTTTCGTTTTTCTTTCTCGTTCGCGTGCACGAGTTTCGAAAACTACAGCCAGGATGAAATCGTTTGGTGGCAGCTGGTAGAAAATGCAACGAAGGGAAATCTGATGCGAGAGCTCGAAAGTTTCGTTGGGTCGATTTGTTATGGAAGTCAATGAAAACTCGAAGATACCGCTGATTTTTCATCGCCGTGAAATTACACTTTCGTTGTACAAGACGAACTTTCTAAACTAGATCTCTCCGTTTCGAGTTGCGTATAAAATCCATGACACTTCTCGTTATTGTCTCCCTATCGAGGAAATCGTGATCGATAACTGGTCCTCTGAATCATAGAAACCGATCGATTCGATTGAAAATTGGGCAACGAGTTTCGATCGAGCATCGGATTTCCTGTTTTCGTTACATTCCACTCGCTGTTTTTTTCGATGACTATTTAAACGCTGAAATGTAATTAAATATTTGTACCAGTCAAGATTAGAGTGTTGCTGTTTCAGCGTAAATTCGTCGATTCGTCGAAATGCTGGCGAATTTTTGAGAATCGTACAGCTTTAGCTCGTTATCCCGAGAGAACTCATCGAGAACCGGCAATCTGCCTGCAAACGCTCGCTTTTACTCGCCGTTGATTACACTCGGAGATTACTAACTGTTTTCTAACCCAGTTAAAAACCCAGTTAACCCTGGGTTACGATGGAATATAATCGTATTTCCTTCGGTTGTTTCAAAATCGAATATTAGAAAACACAAGAGGAATTTCTAGACAGCACCGGTGACTATGTTTATTTCGAAAACAGAATAAGTATGAAATTTTATTTGCACCTTTGAAAACGGGCAGAAACTTTCGTGACGATCTAATATTAAGCTCCACGGCACTGCTGTAACTTATGACCAGTGGCGGATTAACCGGGTTAACCGGGTTACCTGTTACTTTGCGGAACATCGACAATCGGGTTAGACGGGTTACCAGATATATTAGAGGCATATCCTGTTTCTGGATTAGAGTTACAATTCCTGATTACGCTTCGCTGTACGCTCTACGTCCGTGAGCAATCAGCCGAATTACGTAGACGAATACACGTTGAGGAAGGAGTGGAAGACTTTTATAGATTAAACTTGACGTGAAACGAATTCCGCGATCCTCGCCGCGATTTCGTCGCGGGAACGGAGGTGCTGTTGCTCGTTTTATTCCGCCTTCCGGTGTGTACGGTGTCTCGTGGTGTGCGCAACGTGTGTAGGAATCCGTGCTTTTTAGAAAAGTTACGATTACATTCGAGATATCCGCGCGAGCGACTTTCCCATTCGAGCGAGAGTTCTCCGATTAGGAACTTGAAAAATCATCGAGAGTTCCCCGCGTGCGTATCCGCGGTACGGATTTTCTTACGTCGGCTCGTCTCAACGGAATTACGATGAAAAAACGCTCTTTTCAGCCTGAACTTGCTGGTGCATTTGGTCTGACGCTGGCGTGATTTTACAAATAGGACGAACTTTATTGCTGCTTATCGTCGCGGTATATCCGCGTGTTGAAACGATGGAGTAAAAATAAAAAAAAAAGAAACGGATGTATAAAATCGATTCGGTCGGTGCGAGGTGTGCATGCCTGTTGTTGTTCGCGGATCACGAGTTTAATAATAAATGCGAGCGAGTACCGTTGACCAGTTTTACTGCAAATAGTACGATTACTCGTAAATAACGAGCATTCCCCGGTAAATTAATTACTCTGCTCCATGAAAACTGTGCTTAACCGAACGGATACACGCGATCGCGCGTACGTAAAGGTAGAATTAAAATATATATGTTATTTGCTTGGTTGGTTGTTCGACATTTTGTTCCATCGAAATTTCCTTGATCGTGTATTGTTGATGACAACATAGAGATTATCGGTTCAGCTTAGAATAGATTCGGAACAGGGTACCATTTGCACATTGATTCGAAGGAGAAAGGTCGAAGGATAACGAGAGATTCGCGATAACATCGTTCATCGTTTGATTGTTCAAGCAGTGTGAAAATGATCGGTGGGTGCTGGGTTGTTTGTTGCATTTCCTATTCGGCTGGTCGTATATTGATGTTCTTACGGATCAAATTGAAACGAACGTCGAAGAAATTGAATGTTAACCGCGATAAATAACTGTGAGTTCCATTATCTCTGGCAGCCAAATTATTAATTATCGGGATTTACGATTATTCCGGAATCGAACGCGATAAAATCTGTTGATGGAACAGAATGAAAACAAATAAAGGAAAATCAGTCATTTCGTTCGCTTTTGTCGCGCGTTTTCGAATTATCGGTACGAGTAGATAACAAACGCGAGAATTTATTTGTCGATTGCCTCGAGGTTTGCGCAAAAATTGCAACACGAACGGATCGGTGTATTTTAAATTTCATTAGAAGTATCTTACGAAATGACCCATTCTGAGTTCCATTAATGGACCTTAATATCGTCGCGGTTGCTCGTCCCGCAATCACCGCCCTTCCAATCTCTCCTTGCCGACAAGTTTACGCTTTATTATCTCGCGTCTCGCTATTGTCTCTAGATAGAATTCTCAGTTTGAATAGACCATTAGAAAGTTTCCTTTATTTCCCCCTCATTTTTCACGATTACTGGTAATCGAAGGAAAACCGTGCTTACTTACACATCTAGAATCTACTTTTAGTCGAAAAAAAAAAACGTGCTCGAAACGAATCGAAACGGAATCGACGAGGAAATCGGCTCGATTCGAATCGAGCTACATCGCGGAACGGAAACGGCACCGTTTCCGGCCGTCGGATTCCTCCTATGTACACTAGAATACCACCCTGCGAACGTGGTATCATTGGCTATTATAGTTTCGTGTTCGACTTTGATCTTGCATTCTCTCTCTCCCCCTCTCTCACACAGCGATATACAGTCACTCATAAAAGTGTTTCAACGAATGTATCCAAAGTTGTTAACGAATGAAATACAAAGGTTGTACTATGATTTTTCAAAATAATGCTGCAAAATGTCTGTACGATTTATATGCAACATTCTACCAATTTTCCATGTACATACATCCTTGAATTATATTTCAATTTTACCCATACATTTTCACAATATTATTTTAGAAAAGTAAGTTCAACTTATGATATTTCATTAGTTAATAATTAAAGATGCAAGCGTTTGAATACTTTCTCAAGCGACTGTACACTGAACGCTATTAGATAATAGGACTTGTTGCATCGATAATAATGTCGACTAACAATGACGATAGTAGTACGATGACAGTAATCTGTAGTGGTATTAATATTCACCGTAATATCGTTACTCTATATGTATATGTATATATAATATATGTATATAGATTCTTCCGATCAATAGTACAAGTTCGTGTATGTATACGTATATACAATATAATATGATTTACAATAATTTACGATAATCGATACCATAAATCATCTTCTTTAACTGACCCCCCTCCCAAATATCTAGTCCCATTTCTGCCGGTTTATTTATCGTTCGAAGGTTCGCTGCGACCAGCCCCGCGGGTGCAGCTTTAATTGTCGATCCCAACACACACACATACACACACCTTGAAAGCGTTTTAGTGATATCACAGTGATTTCATTGCTCCAATATTATCGATAGAGAGATCGTCTCACGGCAATCGACGCGAGATCGTCCGATTAAACGAGTTTTCGCATTTCCTTTTCAAACGAACCTCATTTATATATTCGATCTTTTAATAATCCACGCGGACAACAATGGAACGCGACGAATGAGGTTATATCGATAAAAAAATTGATTGCTAATGAACGCGCTCCTTCGATAGAAGGAAACAACGATCGCATCGAAACGAAGCTGCATAATTTCATTTTCATGTCACGTTTTCGCGGTTCGTACAACAGCGTGTATTAATTGAATTCGTTAATAAAAGACGCGGAGCTTGGTAACGATCGTTGACGTTGATCAAGACGATTAATTTAATCCGCTTGCATTCGGCGCATAATATAAATTGCTGTAATCGTAATTAATTTTCCAAGAGAATTCGGAAATTGTCGCGAAACGAATCGCGCGTTTGGAAGATGAATCGGGTGCGATAAAAGTGTCTGATCGTGGTCGTATGAATCTCCTGATTTGGCGCCAGGCGCCTCGTCGCGTTGAAACGTTTCGAGGGTGCCGTTACGATTAATTAAGGAATCTATTTAACGGAATCTAATTTGACTCCTGCGGGGGTCGTATGGAAATGAAAAAAATTATCACACTTCGGACGATCTCGCGTCTATCGTTATTTCGATGACGCCGTTCGACGAATTGAAATAATAATTAAAGTGAATCGTTGGATCCCTACGGCGACGTTGGATTATTCAATGTACAAGAATGATCGATGGTAATAAGAACGAGAATGACAATGGTGATAATAAGAATAATGGAAAATCTGTTAATAATAATAAAGAATAATATTAATAACAATAGTAATATACATATCTGTGTACAATGTGTATAAATACAAAGTATCATCGTGTTCGTTCGTTAATTAGCAATTACGCGACAACGTGTCGTGTGTCGCTTAAGTTTAGAGACGGTACGAGCGTAACAATTAATTAGAATGATCGTTTAAACATTAGTTGATTTTTTTTTTGTCTATTTGAAAAGTAGTCGTTCCCCCTTTTTTTTTCTTTCTTACGTTTTTTAAATAGGTAATTTTTATTTCATTCCCACGGTCTAATGTTGGATTAATTTCTTATGCTTACCGTTTAAGTAACATCGCGTGTACGTAGGGTAAGGTAGTTTAATTAGTTGACACACACAGAGAGAGATTCATCGAAAAAGGTTCGGTTTGCAAAAATCTGTCCGGCCGCCTAAGGCAGTCGCCGCGTACACGTAGTAGTTTTTGTAACAGTATTAAATGGTAAACGACAGTACGGTTACGTTTCTTTATTATTAGGTATGTTGCAATTTTTTTACGGACTCACGATTAAGTGTGCTCCATTTTCGTCTCAGCGTTCATTCGGCGAATTCCGTGCACGCCTGTGTTCACGCTAATCTCTACGTGTTATCGCTATCTTACGATTAACTCGTTTACGGGGAAAAAATCGAATCGCGCCGTCGATATTTCGTTTTACATCTTACATCGATCTAAATTAAGTTTCATCCAACTATAACAACGAGGACAAACGTTACGCTGATCCTTTTTGTTTCTCTTCCTATTGCTGTGTCTCGATTCGTTTCCGGCCGGAAAACAGACCGGATCTGTTCTTGTTCTCTTGGCGACATGGACAAGCGTCAAACGGGAATTTTCACGAGATCGAATAGAGCCCTGCGCTGCGTGAGAAAAGAGAAAACGTAGCTCGCTGGATTTCCTCGACTTCTGTTCGGATCGACGATTTCTAGGCGGAGAATAAAACATCTATGATGATGATCCCTAAATCGTGAAAACTCGACGAACGTATTCGATATAGGGGAAAGAAACAAGGACGAGGAAGGTCGGTGTCGATGTTTGATCGTTTGAAACATGCATTACCCTATATCATTGACTCTCTGATGGTTAGAACGTAAATTCCACTCGGTTACGTGTATCCAACCCCTCTTTCGTTTTCGTTTATGCGTTCGCGAACATAATGTCTCGCAAGAGCATCTCGAGTCCTTTTATTTCGTGCACGATAAATTCTCGGGAATCCGGTCGACTATGTAACGCGAAATTTCGCGGGATATAATATTTACGAGATCGTAGGATGGTAGGGTAACGTTCGATCAACAGAAAAAGTGAACGTCTACTCTTTCATCAACGTCGTTGTTTCTTTTAATGTAACACGTCGCCGGTAGTATTTGTGTAGGAAGGTGCGAAGGCGACGATAACGAATGCTCGTCACGTTCCAGCAGCCGGTCGAAATCAATTTCCATGGAGCAACTACGTCGAAAAGTCTTCTCCTCTTTTATCCGCAATTTTCCGCGCAAACTGTTCCACGGTTAACCGTGCAAACGTTGCGTTTGCACCGGTGGCTCGTTCAAATAATCATCAAGGGTGCATCAACCCCCCTACGGTTCGCGTGATCGGCCCTCGAAATCGCCGATTCGAAGAGATAGACGCAAGTTTCGATTAACCTTTCTCCGCCTAATTCGTCTAGGATCGTTGAAAAGTGTACCGGGTGTAAACAATTTGAAAATTTTACACAGAAAACTGTGTACTTACCCATTTGTCTATAATTTAATAAACGTTGAGTTTTGATTGTATCGAACGGAAATTGAATCTCTGAAATCTATGAAACTTTTCGAAATCAAAGGCAGGATACGCGTTTGTGTTAGACCAGCGAAATGTACGACTCTTGCCGGTTAATCCTCGGACAGAGATACCCGGGTTTCGATCTAGTTCGATATGGAAGTTTCAAGTAATTTTTTTATTCGAGTGCCGCTCGGTCAGAGCCACGGGGATGATCTTCAATCTAGGAAATATGTAGAGAGAGCAGATTGAATGCCGCGGCGTAAAAGTATCGGTGAAATTGTTTTTTGAAATTTGTTTCGGCGGGTGGTTGTGGCGGTGGTCTGTTCTCGATTAACGGGCAACGTTTTACCGCTTTTTGATTCGTTTTCGGTTAAAAATGAGTACGTTGAAGTTTCAGATACACGTGTGTGCAGGGCATGTTGGAAAGAACTTTTTCAATTTGACAAAGTTGAAAGCGCGTCGACGCTATTGAAGGATTTTAGATTTTATATTTAACAATTTTTCCGATATGAACTTGAAAATTGTCTGAAAATTTACCTTGCTTGATAATTCTGCGAACAGGATCGCCGCTGATCTAGACTATGGAAACGTCAGTTGAGAGAGATTAAGTGAAAGCGTGGGTGGATCAAAGGGGAGCGCGTAGGCAAGCTTCGAAGCGGATTGATCGATTTCGACGGGGTGGATTCGTTCGGTGGCTTCGCGAGCTCGGTAGGCGTTAAATTATAAAGTGGCCGATCGCGAATTGGCACCCCGCCGCGCAAACATTGCGTAATGCCGCGTAATAATTGAAACCGCGTCGGGTTCTCTGTGCCGCGTATTTTCCGCCCACCGTTGCTAAACAAATAAAGCAAAGCGTTCATCTTTAAACGCTGTTCGACGGTAAAGGGCAATTAAGTGTAATATTTGAATTCGACCGAACTAAAATACAGCAGCCTCGATCGTGTTTCCCGTTCCCTTGCCCTCGAAAAATTTTAATCTCGTCGCGTTCAAACGATCCTGTCAGGCGTATTGGCATACATCATCATTTTTTTTCTTTTTTTAAATTTCTTTTTCAGTTATAACGAAGAAATTTCTACGTTTATTATAGATAGATTACGTACCATGTACATTACGTTCTTTTTCCCTTAATCTTTAGCGAAATCGTAGAATTCGAAAAACTCGTGATTAAACGTTACACGATTAACGGTATGTCGATGCTATCGATTAACGAGATGCGCCTATTTAATAGGAAACATGTCCGCCTCGTTCGCGTGATCTCGTTCATTTATTTGTCCGCGACGATCATTCCGATCGAGCCGCCTCGAACTCGTGCCAGTTTCGAGACACGCTTCCTTTCTCACGATCGTATCTCCCGATACGCGTGTATGATATTGTATTATACAACGGTTACGTTATTATTACACGCGAGACGTCCGCGAGTCGTATCGAAAGTTTTCCTTCCCCCGAAGTAGAAAACAGGCCAACGAAGCTTCGTAAACTTACGCTTACTTTTCTCCGCATTTTCTTTCCCAATTCCCCGACTCGCGAGATTTTCCTTCCAGCCTCGCGAAGAAACTTACTATATCCGTCCTCGTATCTCGTCCTTCTGAAATTTCAGAAACTTGTTTCCTCGTCTCTGTATTTGGTTCGAATCGAACACAAACTCATCCTTCGGACGTTAGATCGAGCGTAAACGCGACCAAGATTTTCTTTTTCTTTTTTTTTTCAATCATCTCGGCTCTCACTTTTCCATCGGAGTGAAAACTTTCCAGACGATTCGCGTTAAAATGTCCATATTATATACACACACGCGCTCAAAACTATACATATCTACATATTCACGTACATCGATAATAGTGGATTGTCGCGACGTTTAATTTACAATCGGACCGTGTGTCATCTGCCGAAGGAACTCGCAGGAGGATGAACAGAGTGGGTTACACGCTCCGTTGTTCGTTGACGAGGTCGAAGGGAAAAGTTTGGAAAGAAAACACGAGTACCTGCAACCGCGCGGCGAAATTACAAGCGGATCGCGTCTGGTAAATGCCGAGAGATACGCGCTCGGAAACGTCGTTCGCAGGGAGTACGCGGTTTCCCTTGCCCACGTACAATCAGTTTGAGTGGTATCCTCGAGTTCGCGGGTATACACATCGCGATATCCCATCTGTCTTCGACGGTGTCACGTTGAATCGACAAGCAGTCGGAAGTTGTATCGAGGGTGAAGCGGCAGCTGTTGCTGAAACGCGGCCCGCCTCTAGTCTAGGATTCGCCTCATAGAGGATTCATGACCGTCATTGGCAAACGGGTTATCGAATTTGTCAGGTTTCCTTTTTCGATTCTCAGGATTCGCGCGAACAGCTCGACCGATCGAGCACGGTATCCTTGGAACCATCGTCTCTAACACGATCCGACGAATGATTTTACGCGAAAATATGGCGACACACCGTTGAATTGCATATTTCTTGCGAGCAAATTCTCCGTGCTCGACCGTCTCCTCCGAGACGCGACATCTTGGACAGGAATTTTCCCGCGGTATCGCGACACTCGACAATTCCGTCGGTGCTGGAAATTTCAGCGAGTTTACCATTCCAAAGGGACGTTTCCGTAGAAAGTTTTTACAAGCGAGCGCGAATCTCTCGGGTATAAACGTGTTTTCGCCTCTCTTCTTCGCCGACACCTCTCGATCCGCCGAGACGCGCTTTCGAGAGACGTTTCGCCGATCCTTCCGTCGCCCATACGCCCCCTTTTTACCTGCGTCTCGCGAAGCTGATACGCGTCGCGAATCGATCGGCAACTCGCGATACTCGGCATTCGTGTGGAACTCGAAGACAAGTCCAGGGAATTAACCGACATCGCGGTTAGACCGTTTTCATTTGAACAGTATTCTACGGAAGGCGCGACGAAAGTCCTTGTTGAAGACGGTGTAGATGAAAGGATTCAGGGCAGAGTTCATGTAGCCCAACCAGAATGCGATCACGAACGCCTGGGTGGGTATCTCGACGTCGGGGAACAGAGGTTTCGCGATGTAGAGGACGAAGAATGGTAGCCAACAGGCGATGAAGCTGCCCATTATGAAGCCGAGTATCAGGGTCGCTCGTTTCTCCTTCTTTCTCGCCAGTCTCCTCTTCTCTCTCTCAGGGTCCCGTGGTTTCGACGATTTTCCATCCACCCCCGAATCGTCCTTGCCGCCCGAATGTTTCCCCTCGCCGTGTTCTCTCCTCAGCTTTCCCAGGTGCCTGCGACCGAAAATCGGTTGGCAAAGACGCAGCTTCAATGGTTTCACAACCGCGCACCTGGACACTACGCCACTGTCCGACGACGACGGATCGAACTCGGACACCATGTCGACGTCGATGCCGACGCTGGGCGCTCTGCATCGCGACGGCACGCTCGATTGACCGTCGCCGTTCACCGACAGCGTCGCCTTCAGGCTGCTCTTTTGAACCGGCATCGGGATGGCCACCTGTCGCAAACAATCGTCAACCGTTGTTACTCGTGAGTTTTATTACGAATCGAAGAAATCGTTGAAAAATTATACTTTCCGATAGAAAGTTCATAGGTGAATCGCAGCAGGATCGAAAGCAAGATAGAGTGCACGGATAGTTTAAACGGACCTCTCATCCACCGAGGAGTATATTTCACGCGGTGTATTCGCGTAGCTGGGAAACTAGCGATCCGTATGATTTCATAAAGAATCTCATAAATGTTCATTCGGTAGGAGGAATCCCTGCAGTTTTCGCGACGGTTCGTTCGATTGAAACTAACACAGCCTCTTTCCTCCGTTCGAAAGTTTCCCGGAGCGAGTTCTAATTTGATCGAACGTTATCGAATCTAGTTTATGAACAGCGTTCAAAAAGTAGCAATTTTTGTGCTCGCGTACGATCGATTCGATCCCGATGCTCGCAATGATACGTGGAACGACGCGCGTTATTGTGCCTCGAATCGGCGCTACCTTTATTCGATTCTATTTTGTACGACGACGGAGAAACTGAAATCGAATAGCGAATTTCTGCGCCCGGAGATTTACTGCTTCTACTTTTATGCGACGCACACCGGCGCACGGGATTTCAGATGTTACCCCGTTGTGTCACCAAACAGAATTATATTCAGATTCCAACCGCGAAACTGAAGTTATTGAATAAGTATATACTCGGCGGTACCAAGATACAGGAAAGTATCTGCCTTTTTCGTTCGCAACTATTCCGAGTTGGAATTTACAATTGCTCCTAGAGCTTCCACCACTGATTTAACGCAGCGAATTCGCGAAAGTTTACGAAGCAATTCAGACTACTGAATGGTAATTTTTCAACGGGTGTAGGACGTTTAATAGCTGGCCGTAACAAACGATAATGGTCGTTGAACTCTGAATTGAAGCGTGTATGCATTAAAGCAGCTGGTCCTACGCGTGGAATTTGAAACGAGTGCTCGTAACTCGAGCGTGATAGATGGTCCGATTCGCGCGCGAGCGGTGGCTCGGAATAATGTTGTTAAACATACAGGATGATCCACTGTACGCCAGTACTGAATGCGGCTCGTTTGTTACGGGATAGAGATATCAAACGAGATGGCGGAAAGATTTTGAAACGCTCGAACCTTGAGCGTGTCCTTCTCCTCCATGGGGATGCTGCTTCCCCCGCCGGGATCCGCTTCGGAGGTGCTGACGTCGCTGGCGAAGTCACAGGTGACGATGGGAATCTGTACCGGTTGATTCTCGATCGTGGCCACGTTCTCCATCGTGGATCCCGGTGGTTTCTTCGACTCCGTGGCCGGTGTGCTTTGGGTGAAACTCGTTTGTCTGACATCCGGTGACTCGGGTGGTACCACCGCGCGAGGACGAGGCTGCTTCCGGATGCCCCGACGCGCTCGAGCCTTCGCCGCGAAATAGATGCGTATGTACACGAACACCATGATGCACGAGGGGATGTAGAAGCTGCCGAGCGCGGAATAGAGGACGTAGCCGATGTCCTCGGAAAGCTGGAACAGAAAGGGGATGAAAATTGAATAGCTTTGTTTCTTCGTGGAATTCGCGATGGCTGTAGGAACAACGCGAAAGCTCGATTGTGCAGCTTTGCAAATCCGAGGTGAATTGAAACGAGCAGATTTGCTATATTTCCATCGCTAGCGCGCTTCCATTTCGTCGATGGTCAAGGTATTCCCAACGACGGGAAATCAAGCAAAATTCGAATCCATTAAGCTATCGCATTGATACTCGCTAAGGGAAAAGTCGTCGGTTGAGTTTAACAAAATTTACGGTTATTTTGCAAATGCACGCGATCGCCAAGTGAAATTGATTCGTAAATGAATGAAATTCCCTGTTCCATATTCTACCGTGAAAGTTTGGAGCTTGGAGATGACCGTTTTCGTAATACTTTTATGGTCACGCGCGAAACGCAAGCAAACTGGGTTACACTGTCGTCGTGTGTAGGGTACCGGCACGTATAACAGGACTGGCGACGTTTCGCCTAAAACTGGCGTGCACGTGAAATACGAGCGTGTGTATGTGTACGGATGGGTGGTGCACGCGTTAGAGTTTAATTCAATTTAATTTACGACGTGGTTCCGCGAACTAGCCGGAATAAAACGGACCAACGGCCCTGAACAGAGGACGTTTGATTCCGTGTAATAACTTCTTCGTCCCTGTCGCGTCGCATTTGCATTTGAATTATGCGCGAACCGACACCCGTCCTCATTTATTTATTAACCGATACCAACCACTTGTCCATCGATTTCCCATACTTTTTATCAATCTCTCCTGTTCTCAGTTAAAAACGAAACTCTTATTCATTTTTTATTCCACGTTTCTGTTTCACCGGTAATTGGCTTTATTTACCTGACGTATGGAATTCTAACACTTTGGTTCCTTTGCGAGACACCTGTTAGAAATTCAAACGGTTCTACCTGTGCGCAAAACGCGAGCCAGGATCAAAGTAGACTCCATTGGGAAATGGATCTACCGTTACGGGCGGACTTGATCAGAATCACCGTGGCTGAGACTTGCAATGGAACCGACTAGATCTAGCGTAGATCTGTGTAGCCGACCGTAACACAACGTAATCCCTCGTATCGCATTACATCCAACCGCATTCTACTTCAGTGCTGTCCATTTACTTCGTGCCCAGAGAATCTTGCACCGAAAGATCAGACGGTATCTCAGCAAAGGAACATTCGATCCTGGAATGGGAAATCGAATTTATTTTACAACACCGGTGTGATTCTTTTTCTTTCAAGATCGTTAGACGTTTCCACGTTAGACGTATCGTCGGTTTAATTTCCAATGCATAAGGGTGAATAATTTTACAGATAGGCTATGACTGACTATACGACTGGTGCTTTAACGAACACGTAGGTCTGAAGTTCTACCCTGAAACGATTAGCACGTATAAAATTTAATCTCTCAACGTTGAACGTTTAATCTTCCTTTTTCGTGGCCGTTGGCCGTTTTCCTTTCTTTTCATGGCGCCGTTCCGCGAGCGGTCTCATGAATGTGACATCCAACCGTTGCGTTGGACGGCTTTTTCTAACCGGGTCTGGTTAAGAAGATTGAAAAAGAGCGAAAAGCGACCGAGTCGACTCTGTTTGCGGCAAACACACGGAACAACGAAGGATTCGTTTGAGGATTCGTGAAAAAAAGACGAACGTCAATTTGTGGCTTGACTTTTCCACTAGCTATTACGTTGACGCATACCAAACGCTGAAATTCTTTTAAAGGTTTAAATAGAAAATAAAAGAATTAGCAGGCGGTTGTTTTAGATATAGTTGGTTAACCAAGATAATTAGGTGATGGAACGATATAGTGGGGTTTATCAGAGTTGGTTGGCTAGTGTCCTCTCCATTCTTCGAGAGAGAGAGAAAAGAGGAAGGAAGCGAGTTGAGCGCTGACGTCAAACGTCGCTCGACCACCAACACCACCCCATTCCGTTTTCCTTTCCAAGCGGAATATCACGGTTCATGGTTGCGGAATATTTTTTTCAAACCGCGCATTTATACTCTCGCGGGCTTCTTAATGAAAAATTCATTCCTCTGTTTTCGTTCCTCTCGATACGAAAGGCCGAGGGTGGGAAACAAGCAGGTTTACGACGCTTCATAAGCTACCGACACACGCGCCGCCCGAAGTATAACGAGCAATCTCGAGCAAAGCGAATGAAAATTCATGAAATCATGAATAATAACGCTGCGATCCGTTAGGTTCTTTTTTTTCTTGTCGACGGTCGTTTAAAAGAAAGCCGAGGTTCGGAACGAAACTCTGGTTCCATTGAAAAATTCCTGAATCATACGGTAAATTAAAGCAATGGCGTCGGTATCTCTGGTAGCTTCCCGGTAGAATGATATTCTCGCAAGCTCGGAATGGAATCGACGTTCACTGCGGCAGAACGATGTCATTCGCCAAATGGCAACGCGTATCCTTGGTCATTTTCGTCGAAACGACGCCACCGCGATCCTGAACTCGTTTCCGCGAGAAAACGTACGCTGACCAACGCTTGCCAACCATTTCAATTACGAATCTCTGATAAATGATGCTAGCTCGGTATCCGCTTCCTGAAAGCTTGCCGAATAAGTAGCGAAATAAATAGGAGAAATGGAGACGTAATCAGGATTCGACGGTATACATTTTCTTTAATCAAATTTTGCGAAATCTACACTTTGTATGATTAAATATCGAAACAATGGACACGGTTACATCCCGTAATCGATTTCTGCACCATCCTCCGGCAATTCTTTTCGTTCCACGCGTTTTCATCCGGCTATTGGCTGCTTTCGATTTAATGATCCGCGAGTCTCGCGATATCGCGTGGGTGAATAAGCTTCAACGACGCCTGGGTACAATCGTTTGCATGGCGTTACGGATATGGTTCGACAGATCAGGAAATTCGGTATTACAGATTTGCTCGTCGAAGCGTGTCGAGCGAAACGCGAACGTAGGATCCGTGAAACTGCTTCAATTAAGTTCAACGGAGGCGAAAAAGGTAGACGCCGAGCGGACGGCCGTCCTACGAATGCCTGTGGCTACGTTTTGTCCGACCCAATTAAATTTCTTTCCAGCTGCCGTCTCGTTACTTCTTTTCATCTAGATTCGGGCCAAATCATGCTCTCTTTAAGGTCCGCGTCAGCGTGAAACCGAGAAACCGATTATAACTCGTGCCCCTCAAAATAATTGCATTCCTCCGTGGTCCGTCTGATCCTCTCTCGCGAATACCAGCCGGCAAAAGGCCACTAGGTTTTTCTGCTCGAAATATTCTTAATTGAACCGAACGCCCACGATTAAACGTCACAGGATCGCGTTCTTGGAACAGTGGTTCGTTGCCTGGAACCATTAGATGCCGGGATGAATTTCTTTTTCTATATTTTATTATTTAACAACAGGGTTGTGCGGGAAAGGCTGTATTTCTTTTTGCAATGGCAAAGAAATGAAAGAAGCCCGAGGTGGAAATAGAAGGGGGAAAAAGAATAGGCGAGTGATAAAGAGGCGGGGTATCGATGCCAAGATTATTTCCGCGAAAGAGCGAAATTCAAGTTATTGGTTACCGAAATCCTGCCTCGGGGATCCTGGATTCTTTTCAATAAGAACGTGTCACCCCTTTTCAGAGATAAGTATAGATAGCATCGATTGGACGATTCGCGGCTTCCTTCGAGGGAAGTTTAAAGATTAGAAATTCATCATGACGGTTTCCAGCGTCAATGGGACCGGTTCATTTTACCAGTCTGTTCCTTTGACGCCACGATTGATACTCCCTTTGTCCCGTTGCCCATTGTGAGCCCGCTGTTGCTTTTACCGACGCGTTTGCTCGACTTGAAATAGAAACGGGAAGAAATGAATTTCTTCCTTCCTTCCTTCCTTTCGCATTGAATGGGCAAGTTTCGAGGGACGGAAGAAGAGAAACGGTTCGAATCGCTGATGGATGTTATATTACTTGTTTGAGAGGATTTCAGCTACTTTTGGCTGACTCGTTGCTTCGCTTCGACTCGTTCGTCCGGCCGAAACTTCTTCCCTCTTAATTGTGTTAATATTTGACCGGTGTTAGGGGAACGAATGTACCGCCCAGCTGCAGCCGAATAGAACAATATTTGTCGAGATAACGTTAACCGTAATGTATTATTTTGGACGACGAGTTAGCGTTACTAACGTCCTGGAGAGACGATATTTGCCGTGGAAACTACGTTATGAGAATCAGCTTGTCGTTGTTAACCACTCGCTTCTATTCTCCGCTGTTATTTCAACTAGTCGTGCTAATTTCTTTTAGCAAAGTTTCAACGCAAACTCGCGTTGACGCAAATAGAGCCGTTCGTTGTATCAAGAGCAGACGATTTAACAGTGTGTCGCAAAAGACTTCTCGATGTCGAAGAAATCGTAAAGAATAGAGGCATCGATCGATAGGCTGACGAGTGTTTAATTAAAAATCGTAATAGATGTTTGTCCCTCGTCGAGACAACTCGTTTCCACTTTGCGAGAGAAAAGAAACACGCGTACCGAAGTAGAATCGATGAGTCTGTCAAGCGGAGATGAAAAGTGTTTGACATTGAAGTCGCTATGGGGATGGAAAAGGAGGATTCGCGGCGGAAAAGGCAGACTGCGAAACGCTTCAAACAAATCCGTGTGCGGTCCAGCGTGACCTGGATTTCTGTTTTTCTCTCTAGCCCACTTTCCCATCCCCTCGTTTCAACGCTTCGGTGTAAAAACATGTTGCTTTTTCGACGAACGCTCTTTTATTTCGTTCCACTACCGAACCGAGGATCTTGATGTTATGACGCGGCCGAAATAACGTATAACGACGCGGATGAAAGGGAGATTGCCAGACGCGGTTCTGAATACGAAATTCCTTCTGTAAGGTGAACACGATCTCGTCGAAAGGATTTATCGACGAAATATATATATATATATATATTCTCATCGTTTCGTTTATTGTTCCTTTCTACACACGCTCTCTAACATCTCAAACCGTCGATGCTTTGTGCGTTCACCTCCCTTCACGATCTCT